GGGACGACGCCGGAAAAAGGGAAGAGACTAGGGATAATAAGAAAAAGAGGAGAAGTCAGGTGCTGACGAAAATTGACGACAGAACGAGGAGAGACGGGCGTGAGACGGGAAAGACGGAGGGCACCTGGAGCGACCCAGGGGGATCCTGGATCAGACGCAACGACAACAAAAATAAAATAACCTGACACCAGGTGGACGGGACCGTCCGGGTCAGGGAGTCCGGATGACAACACTAAGTACCGCCGCGGCAAGCGCCGACGGGAGGTGTCGAGGGGAAGAAAAGAGGGAATAGCGGCGGTAAGAGGGGCCAGCCAGCAGTCCGAGTATCCCGGATCAGCCAGGCCAAGAAAAACAAAGTCCCAAGAGCTCCGCGTGGAAAAAAGGCTGGCCGGAGAAAATCAGAGCAAGGGGGTCTCAAAACTGGAAGCAGTGGCAGCAAAAAGGAGCCCCCTTTGGCCTTGGGGGTGCCGCTACTGCAGTCCGAGGTGCAACGGCCATATGCCGGCTGCAAATCAGGCCTTGGGAAAGGTCCAACAACTAGAAAAAGGAGAAATAGCTGTTGGACACTCGTCCCAACAGTAAATGAGAAAAGAAAGGAGAAAAAGGGGGGAGAATGAGACAAAGGAGGAGGAAGGAGTGGAGGAAAAAGTGTCGTCAGGTTGGGACTGCAGCGGTAGGGACTGGCAGGTCTCAATGATGACCTCATCCCTCCTAGATCCTGGGAGGGCAGTCCGGATTGCAGAGATAAGGTCCTTGGGGCATTATCTCTGCAATATCTGAATTTAAGCAACAAAAATAAAGAAAAATGCTAATGTGAGTTGGCCGGCTCATTTTTGGGCCTTAGATCTGAGATATGATCTTGCGGAGGAGGAGATCTAGCCGTTTTTTGTGGGCTGACACAAAACGGCTAGCTCCGGAATGAGTTGGCAGCAAAGTGGAGGGAAAACAAAGAGAGGAACAAGACAAAACTGCGAATTTGGCCCAAGGTTTGGGCCAGGTACATCAAAAAAAATTAAAAAATGGAGCAAAAGATTCAAATTTGGAGCAAGGGGGGCTTGGAGTAACTCGGAATGATGAGAACCATAAATCTCAGCCAAATTCAAGGCTGAGATCTGTGCCGCCACTTGGAAAAATGCAATGGCCTACCCAAAGGAGGCCTAGACCAAGAAAAAGGCGGAAAATGGGCCTTGGGGCCCTCAATTTTCAGTAAAGGCTGCGTTTTGGGAAAGGGTACCCCAAAAGGCAACACTTTTTGAGGCAAAAAGAGACCGGGGTAGGCTAAGGGGTAGTCCGAGAGAGTACCAGCCTCCTGGACTGCATGTACCTGGCCAAAATAAGGCCCATGTACCCCCGGAGAGGCCAAAACAGGAAATTTGGCCTTTGGGGTACCTCGCTCCACCTAGAGGCACTTGGAGGGGCCTAGAGGTTGGGCGGTGCACCTGTTCCAGCCTATATAAGCTGGAGGTGTAGGCCGCAACTCTCATTTGAGCATGAGAGGTGCCCATGCTGCCCAAATGAGTCCAGGAAAGAGTTCGAGTGGGAGAGGAGCAAGGGAGTGAGGGTCGGAGCCAGCCTGTAGCCTGGCTATGGTGGTAAGGCTGGGAAAGGTGACCTAGAGGCTAGGAGGGAGCAAGGAGAGTGGTCCGCCATAGCCCTCAGGATGTGAAGTAGGAGGAGAGGCTGAAAGGGGTCCCCATAGCCCTTCTAGAGGGAAGGACTCCACAGTCTTAGAAGTAGGAACCTGCCATAGCCAAAGGAGAGGTGTGAGGGAAGGAGGAGAGAGCTTGGAGGGAGGAAAAAACATACTCAGGAGGCTAGAACCAAGCACTGGGACTCCACTGCCTAGAGACCAGCGAGAGGTCAGTGAAAGAGGAGGGAGGCCTCCTCCTTCTTCTTCTTTTTCTTCTTCTTCCTCTTCTCCTTCTTCTTCTTCTTCATCTTCTACTTCTTCTGTCCTTCTTCTTTCTTCCTCTTCTTCTTCTTCTTCTTCTTCTTCTTCTTCTTCTCCCTCTTCTTCTTCCTTTTCTTTTCTTTCTCCCTCTCCTCCTTCTCCCCCTCCTCCTCTTGTCAAAACTGCGAATTTTGTTGATTTGGGTGCCTGGGGGTGTTGCACTTCATCTTGTGATACTTCGGTGATGTTTCCCCTAGTGTAGATGATGTCAACCTTGTCATTTTGTTGATTTGGGTGCCTGGGGGTGTTGCACTTCATCTTGTGATACTTCGGTGATGTTTCCCCTAGTGTAGATGATGTCAAACTTGTCATTTTNTGGGGGTGTTGCGCTTCATCTTGTGATACTTCGGTGATGTTTCCCCTAGTGTAGATGATGTCAAACTTGTCATTTTGTTGAGTTGGGTGCTTGGGTAAGTTGCGATTCATCTTGTGATAGTCCGGTGAACTTTCCCCTTGTGTTGATGCTTCAAATCTTGAGTTTTCACTGAATTGGGTGCTTGGGTAAGTTGCGATTCACCTTGTGATAGTTCGGTGATGTTTCCTCTTCATAGATTGCTTCAAAGCTTGTGTTTTCACTGATTTGGGGGCATGGATCAGTTGCAATTCACCTTGTGATAGTTCGGTGATGTTTCCTCTTCATAGATTGCTTCAAAGCTTGTGTTTTCACTGATTTGGGGTCCTGGGTAAGTTGCGATTCACCTTGTGATAGTTCGGTGATGTCTCCCCTTCATAGATTGCTTCAAATCTTGAGTTTTCACTGATTTGGGTGCTTGGGTAAGTTGCGATTCATCTTGTGATAGTCCAGGGAACTTTCCCCTTGTGTTGATGCTTCAAATCTTGAATTTTCACTGATTTGGGTCCTTGGGTAAGCTGCGATTCATCGTGTGATAGTTCGGTGAACTTTGCCCTTGTGTTGATGCTTCAAATTTTGAGTTTTCACTGATTTGGGTGCTTGGGTAAGTTGCGATTCGTGTTGTGATAGTCCGGTGAACTTTCCCCTTGTGCTGATGCTTCAAATCTTGAATTTTCACTGATTTGGGTGCTTGGGTAAGCTGCGATTCATCTTGTGATAGTTCGGTGAACTTTCCCCTTGTGTTGATACTTCAAATCTTGAGTTTTCACTGATTTGGGTGCTTGGGTAAGTTGCGATTCATCTTGTGATAGTCCGGTGAACTTTCCCCTTGTGTTGATGCTTCAATCTTGAGTTTTCACTTATTTCGTTGCTTGGGTAATTTGCGATTTATCTTGTGATAGTTCGGTGAACTTTCCCCTTGTGTTGATGCTTCAATCTTGAGTTTTCACTGATTTGGGTGCTTAGGTAATTTGCGATTTATCTTGTGATAGTTCGGTGAACTTTCCCCTTGTGTTGATGCTTCAATCTTGAGTTTTCACTGATTTGGGTGCTT